AAAATCCCCTCGATGGGATCCACCATTACTCTTGGAGAGGAGTTGGTTGTTATAACGATGTTACTGTTGGCAATGATTGGTCGTTCAGGCGTAGAACTCTTTACTCGGAGCCTTCTGATAGGCTGAGCTGGGATGCTTGCGCTCTCCAAGGTCGTAGCTCCCCTCGTCCTTCTTTCTCATCCGGTACACCAGAAGGAGGATGAGGAAGATGGCAAACAGGAAGCCAATCACTCCGCCGGCTATAACCGCTGCACCAAGAAAAATGACACCATATCAAAAAAATTCATATGGTTTGAAATAATATCTAAAATCATATTCAAGTACACATCATATTCAAATGCTTCAACGAAAACTTACAGATGCAAATGAAATAAAATATTAGAGAAATTCGACACAGAGAAAACAATGGTTTGTCAGCTTATAGAATTTATTAAAAAATGAATCAAAAATCATGGGTAAAAATCTTTATTTATGCACTGGGATAAAGATTTGATTTCGTCCTTGATCAACCTTGAATATCTTGTAATTATGTTTTATTCTATTTGACGTTTCAAAATACTATTATTATTATTATTTTACACACACACAAAATGGATATGCCTTGAACTTTCTAACACAACAAGTCAACTAGCAGTCCATTAAAAAATAAATAAAAAGAAACCAATTATTTACCAAATTGGTCAATATTTATGAATTTTAATTATGTAAATGTGAACATTTTCAGTTAAGTATATTTCTAGTCTTTAAACTGGCACTCTGCTGCTTTTGCAGAAATATGCACCTCATCACTTATCATTTCCATCATAACCAAATTTAAACTTATTTTGAAAAAAAAAACAAAAAAAACAATTGTTCTGTAAAATGCTTGGCATAATTTTTTTGTTAAAAAGGTAAAATTGTACACATAAATATTAAATAAATAAATAAAATACTTAATACTAAAACTTATAACTTTAAAACTAAAAAACAATGTACAAAGTAGAATTTTCTTGATTTTGAAATATCTTAAAAGGTCTGGCCTAAATAGAGCCCCTATAGCAAATTAACTTTTAAATACTCCACAAAATGAAAAAGTAATTAAAAAAAAGAAATTAAAACTATAATAATTGTGAAAATTGCAATAATTACATTTTTAAAGCATTTTTTCCCCCTTTAAATCTTAACAGGGGACTAAAAAGTTCCCCTAATTTATGCACTGGGATAAAGATTTGATTTTGTCCTTGATCAACCTTGAATATCTTGTAATTATGTTTTATTCTATTTGACGTTTAAAAATACTATTATTATTATTATTTTACACACACACAAAATGGATATGCCTTGAACTTTCTAACACAACAAGTCAACTAGCAGTCCATTAAAAAATAAATAAAAAGAAACCAATTATTTACCAAATTGGTCAATATTTATGAATTTTAATTATGTAAATGTGAACATTTTCAGTTAAGTATATTTCTAGTCTTTAAACTGGCACTCTGCTGCTTTTGCAGAAATATGCACCTCATCACTTATCATTTCCATCATAACCAAATTTAAACTTATTTTGAAAAAAAAAACAAAAAAAACAATTGTTCTGTAAAATGCTTGGCATAATTTTTTTGTTAAAAAGGTAAAATTGTACACATAAATATTAAATAAATAAATAAAATACTTAATACTAAAACTTATAACTTTAAAACTAAAAAACAATGTACAAAGTAGAATTTTCTTGATTTTGAAATATCTTAAAAGGTCTGGCCTAAATAGAGCCCCTATAGCAAATTAACTTTTAAATACTCCACAAAATGAAAAAGTAATTAAAAAAAAGAAATTAAAACTATAATAATTGTGAAAATTGCAATAATTACATTTTTAAAGCATTTTTTCCCCCTTTAAATCTTAACAGGGGACTAAAAAGTTCCCCTAATTGAAGAAACACTCTTGTATGTTGTTCATTTTGAACATACCTGCCAGCACTTCTGTCCTTTGGAAGAGATTTTCTGTGCGAACCTCATGAAGCGGGTCAGCATCTTGTACAACACTCGGTGAGCTGGTGGCTTCAACAGTGACCTGGGGCTTTTCTGTCTGATAGCCAGAGATCTAAAAAAACAGTGAGAGAGGCAGAGAGAGAAAGACAGCTTAACATCGAAATTGCTGACACAAAAAACAGTTGAGCTTGTAGATAGTGTCGGAAAAAGTGAAGAGATTCAATAACAAGATTGAAAGATCCAACATAATAGTAATGTTCAGTAAAACTGTGAGAGACAGCAGGTCAGTGTAAGCATCAAAAAGCGGCAATATCAAAAGTATCACAAGTTGTCACAGTTTTGCAGGCTGTGCAGGTTTTCGGAGCAGCGGGAGTCAGCAAAAGCTTTGATAGTGTCAGAATCAGTATGACTGAAATGGGCAAGCAACCGCACCTCTGGTTCTGGCTCTGAATCAATGAATGGGTCTATGCTGATTTTGTCCATCTCTTTGGAAATGGAGGACTCTGAGCTGGGGCTGCTGCTGTAAACAGGCTGCTGAGTAGACCCTTCTTTGAATTCTGGGTACCGCACAATTACCATGGAAGTGTCTTCATCATCATCTGTGTCACTTGAACCTAAAGAGACATGAGAAATAAAGATACGAGTTAATAAATAAGCTTTCCATTGATGTATGGTTTGTTATGATAGGACAATATATGGCCGAAATACAACTATTTGAAAATCTGGAATCTGAGGGTGCAAAAAAATCAAAATATTGAGAAAATTGCCTTTAAAGTTGTCCAAATAAAGTCCTTAGCAATGCATATTACTAATTTTTATATGTGTGTGTGATATATTTACAAAAATGTATCAAGTTTTGATATATTTACGGTAGGACATTTACAAAATATCTTCAAGGAACATGATCTTTACTTAATATCCTAATGGTTTTTGGCAAAAAAGAAAAATCGATGATTTTGACCCTTGATTTTGATTTTGATGTATTGTTGGATATTGCTACAAATATACCCGTGCGACTTAAGACTGGTTTTGTGGTCCAGGGTCACATAATATATTATATTATATTACATTTTGTGAGGATTTCAAATTTACTCTTTCTGCAGGTTACACCTAAATTGCCAGTAGGTGGCAACAAGTGACTCTTTATGAGCGAGTCATTGGAATCATTTACTCAACTGACTAGGGTTGCATTCCACTTCATTTTTTTATGCTGTTCTCTCGCTAACTTCCCTATGTCTCGGATGTACGTCAGTGATTACACTGCAGGAGTGCCCACTACTGGTGGAACCCTTGCAATTGGTGAATTGGAACGTCCTAATTGACTATGGATGATTAAGTTGATTAATTATTTACTTTTTTTTTTTTCTTTGCAGATTTGTTTGATGCAGCATTCTGTATGTATATAGATATGCTTCCGCTGTTTTAAATATTTAAAAATATGAGAGAATTGCCGACGCATCGCCGATGCCTGTGAAATATTTGGCATGCTAAATATCTGAACCTGAAGGCGATTTAAAATCCTGCTGCGTGAAATGTGTTGTGACTGAAAAATACATCGGCGTTGACCTACAGCCAACGAGAGAGCAAGATACAGGGCAGCGGGAAGTTTGGGGAGAAGTTATAGACTAAAATATCAGCAATCCTAGATCCCCGCTCCCCCAAATTCCTCCTCTTTTTCACCCTTTCCCTGCAAATCAGTGCACAGATCATTTGTATCGCAAACTTCTTGCTGGCTACCATTTTAATAACATTTCCAGTCTTGTGCAAGAACTCTGATCTCACGTGTGATCTTGCGTTATTTCTCGCGTGTGTTTGGTTGTGCGTTTGGTTGTCGCCGATCCTTCTATTATAAAGGCATGCAGTGTGTAACCTCTTGTCGCCAATCCATCGTACAATGTGAATGCTACCCCAGCCAGTCGTGCAGTGTGAAAATAATGGTGATCCGACAACTTTGAAAATCGTGCAGTTTGAACATAAATGATTGTTTTCATGAGAGAGTCACCGAATAATTCACTCAACCATTTCATTCAGAAACGAAACTATTGTCTATTGCTCGGGATGCACAACAGTTAATTCTGCTGTGGCTTAATTTGGAACTATTTTCATTGGCAGAGCAAAGTCACTGGCAATACTGTGTGTACAGCCATGCTTATTTTTGTCAGCACTTGTTTGTACGATATTGGTTAAATATCTTATAAGCCTATATGTTTTGCCATATCTTTAGCTTCGTCGGAATGTTTTGAACACAAGAACAGGTTTTATGTTAATATCTATTCACACAGAATGTGTTTTTGTGTTACTCTGTGCTGATTTTACATGCTCCAGATGAACATGTTTGACCATTGTGGTCGCACTATGCATATTTTGCAGCATTTCACACATTTGAAAAACACAGCGATCATGTTAAAAACAGTTTAAAAAAGCATTTCTAGACCTTGTGTTATTTTCATTCCAATACCCTCCATCTCACTTTTCTAAATGCAAAAATGCATTCTGTTTGAATGGCCCCTAAGCAGCACGTCTGGTAAACCTGAAACCAGCCTGATCGTACAGGGTTCTCTTGAGACTGATTATGCAACTATTCATTTGTAAGTCAATTTCGAAAATATGAGGTTTGCACGTCTATGACGTTATGGTCTGATGGGACTATAATGGCATCCCAGTGGCCTGAGCTTTAGTTTAAATGTTCCAATCTTCCCTCTTCCTTGGACTTTGAGTTCTGTATAAATATAACCATAGAGAATGGGAATGCACGATCAGCACTATTGTGCTTAAAGTGTTTCCAAGAGAGACAGATGAAATATATAAAATGTATAAATATTTCAACCATTCTCTCCATTTTGCATTGTAATTGTGCCAGGTACAAGGCACTGTGGTACAGCAGTAAGAGGCAGAGAAATGACTTAATAATGCAGTGCAAAAATGCATTCTGTTTGAATGGCCCCTAAGCAACACGTCTGGTAAACCTGAAACCAGCCTGATCGTACAGGGTTCTCTTGAGACTGATTATGCAACTATTCATTTGTAAGTCAATTTTGAAAATATGAGGTTTGCACGTCTATGACGTTATGGTCTGATGGGACTATAATGGCATCCCAGTGGCCTGAGCTTTAGTTTAAATGTTCCAATCTTCCCTCTTTCTTGGACTTTGAGTTCTGTATAAATATAACCATAGAGAATGGGAATGCACGATCAGCACTATTGTGCTTAAAGTGTTTCCAAGAGAGACAGATGAAATATATAAAATGTATAAATATTTCAACCATTCTCTCCATTTTGCATTGTAATTGTGCCAGGTACAAGGCACTGTGGTACAGCAGTAAGAGGCAGAGAAATGACTTAATAATGCAGAGTTTCTGTATGGAGAAGACATCTGCTGAGTGACCATGGTGGTCTTGGCTGACCGCGTTTGACTGCAGGTGAAACATCTGTCCGCTCACAGGGTGGGCGGCATTTTCTAGCAACCACCTAGCAGCCCTTCTATTACCAAAACATTACACAACCTTTAGACACAACAAAATTGGCTCTGTGGGTTGATTATAAATACTTAATTCAATGATTTTCTAGTCCATAACTTAATAGGTAATGAGGTGACGGGGTGCTGCTCTACTAAAAGTCCATAACTCAATGATGCACTAGTAAGAAGACTGAGAAAATGTCCAAAATTGCCACTTTAAAAGCATGTAATAGCATCATTTGTCTTTAATAATTATAGAATAAACATTACTACTCTAACTAGCCTAGACTTTTCCATTTTTTAGGTGCTGGCACAGTGCAAGGGTGTTCTAGGTGGTTGCCAGGTCATTTCTATGCGGTTACGAGGTTTTTGATTGGATTGCCTACAGATGGCTACTTCCTAGACCAAGCCAAAACAGCTGTTCCATGGGTTTCTATGGCCCTGTTACAAATGGCACACTTAGTGTGTACGGTCGCATGCTAGCGTCCAGTGAGTCTTTTTTATTTATGATGTCCCATTTGTCATTTTAGGTTTCAGAAGGGTCCAAAGCAGACTACTACCCTACATTAGGGCCATTTTATCTTCAAAGTGTGGACTTTGAGGAAGAATCAAGGCCTTAGGCTGGCATGGCTCAGGGTTTTTGTATGTCTGATGATCTGGGCTGCCTCAGAATAGTGATGGTACTAAAATGGGCAATTTTAGAATCAGCTGGACTGATATATAAACAATCCTTACCTGATCCTGAACCAGAAGTGAAGTCATTATCATCTAAAGGGTAGTCACCAGACTGCTGGTCATCCAAATAGATGTCATCAGATGAGGCAGGGGACTGACCAGAGACCAGTACCTACACAGATAAACACAAGCAGAACATTCAGAGCCAAAACATCCAATTTCATCTGAAAATGTTTGAAATTCTAGTGAGCTAGTGAGCTTTCTTCAAAGAAAAATATTTAGCCATTCCTATACATACAAAATGATCTCAAAGAAATCTTCACAGTTACAAAAAAAAGAAAGAAAGAAATGTACACCACTTAAGTACCATTATTAACATATCAAACAAAACCTTTTTTTTCCATTTCCAAACACAACACTGAAGAAAATCCTGGCTGATTTTGTTTTATGCTGAAGACATAAACAACAAATACGCCTGCCCAAGGTTCCTCCCACTTCTGTTTCCCTGGAAACTACCTCAAAGAAAAGTAATGTTTGATTCTCTTCCTCAGGAGAAAACTCTCTGAAAGCTCTCTGACCCACTAAAACGGTGCTAAGAAACCAATCTAAAAGTCAGCATCTGTCATTTCTCCACACATTGTGGAGGTAACAAAAGGTTTATCGCTCTGAAGTAATACTTCAAGGTTGAGGGGGGTTCAAACGGACAGCCACGGTCTAGCAAACAAATGCAAGAGGCTATCATTGTTGTCAAGATAGAGGGGCAGATGGACCAATGTCTATTTCCAAAACCTATGACCCTTTCTTTTTCACCGTGTTGGTATCACATCCTCCAGTGACCTTGTCATCTCCCACAGACCTCACCATTCATGCTCGCTCGGGCTCAGCCGTCTCTGATCTTTTCCATCCATATTAACCCTTCAGCAAATCACAATGCGCCACAAGCTGGACCAGTCACAAAAACAGCCGGCCACGCTTTGTGCACCTGTGTGTGATTGTATTTCTTATATTGTGGAGGGCAAACAATGAAATGAAGCACTGATATTGTCTGTATATGTGTGTGTATTTGATTAAAGTCTACAAGAGCGCCAATGGATCCGACAATGAGATTGGATAATACTCCAAGCACCTTTGTGTGCAATCTGAATCCTCCTATTCACCCGGATGATAAATAATGGCACTCAGGTGATAAGGTTCAATTTTATAGTGGTCACTCATGCAGGATAAAAACCCAGAAAGAACGAAGGGGTTGGATTCAAAGCCTGTACAATAACAGGAGGCTGGAGCGGGTGCTGTTTTCAGAGGCGCTGAGGGGAAGATTAAACGGGACTTGAAAGCCAATGGAAGACTAAATAAAGCCACAGAAGAGCCAGAGCCTGTGATCAGCCATGGGTCCTGCTCAGGACATCTCAAACATACATCAGCCTCTGTTTGACTCTTCACATTTTTCACAGTCTGCTCACAAAGCAAAGGCTTTCATTAGGTGTCATTGCTCATCGTGACAGAGAACACACAGGAAGACGGGATACAAAAACCCTGTTTAACCTCGACAGCTTACAATAATTGAACTTGAGTGACATAAGGGCTGTGTATGAAACCTAAGACAGCTGTCCAGACAGTCAATGACTAAACAGCCAGTGTTTTTGTATAAAGGTTCCTAAGCAAATTGGTTTCAGACAGACTTCAAAGGCAACGTAATGTCATCTCAAATGATCTAGAACAAATTCATGTGAGCTTTAGACATATCTGCGAATATTTAATGTCAACAATGCTTATGTCCAGGAATGGAGAGTCAATGAAAAACAAAAAGCAGCATTTTTTTATAGACAGGATCTACAAACAGTGGATTTGAATGCACCTTGATGTCTTCCTACTTAGTAAAATGTGTAGGACAGGCAGCAAGGAGCTATTTCTACCTGATCCAGATAGTTCACTCAAAATAAAAACCCTCTCATCATTTACTCACCCTCACGTTGTTCCAAACATGACTTTCTTTCTTCCGCAGAACACAAAACAAACATTTTAAAGAATGCTGAGAACCAACAGAATAACATAAGTGGACTTTGAACGATTAATTGCCGCTTTGAACGATTACGCAATTGTGGCATCCATAATTGTAATCGCGATTAGAAATTCGATTAATTGTGCAGCCCTATCTGAAAGCTCTCTGACCCACTAAAACGGCACTAAAAACCAATCAATCAGCATATGTCATTTCTCTACACATTGTGGAGGTTACAAAAGGTTTATCACTCTGAAGTAATACTTTAAGGTTGAGGGGGGTGCAAACGGACAGACACGGTCTAGCAAACAAATGCAAGAGGCTATCATTGTTGTCAAGATAGAGGGGCAGATGGACCAATGTCTATTTCCAAAACCTATGACCCTTTCTTTTTCACCGTGTTGGTATCACATCCTCCAGTGACCTTGTCATCTCCCACAGACCTCACCATTCATGCTCGCTCGGGCTCAGCCGTCTCTGATCTTTTCCATCCATATTAACCCTTCAGCAAATCACAATGCGCCACAAGCTGGACCAGTCACAAAAACAGCCGGCCACGCTTTGTGCACCTGTGTGTGATTGTATTTCTTATATTGTGGAGGGCAAACAATGAAATGAAGCACTGATATTGTCTGTATATGTGTGTGTATTTGATTAAAGTCTACAAGAGCGCCAATGGATCCGACAATGAGATTGGATAATACTCCAAGCACCTTTGTGTGCAATCTGAATCCTCCTATTCACCCGGATGATAAATAATGGCACTCAGGTGATAAGGTTCAATTTTATAGTGGTCACTCATGCAGGATAAAAACCCAGAAAGAACGAAGGGGTTGGATTCAAAGCCTGTACAATAACAGGAGGCTGGAGCGGGTGCTGTTTTCAGAGGCGCTGAGGGGAAGATTAAACGGGACTTGAAAGCCAATGGAAGACTAAATAAAGCCACAGAAGAGCCAGAGCCTGTGATCAGCCATGGGTCCTGCTCAGGACATCTCAAACATACATCAGCCTCTGTTTGACTCTTCACATTTTTCACAGTCTGCTCACAAAGCAAAGGCTTTCATTAGGTGTCATTGCTCATCGTGACAGAGAACACACAGGAAGACGGGATACAAAAACCCTGTTTAACCT